ATCCATTTTTTCTCATTCTCTTTCTCAATTTTTTCCCTTTCTCCATTTCAACCACACATTCTATCAATAAAATAATATTACTCATAAATTCAAAAATTCTCCTTATTTTTTAACCACACATTTTTTCATCAATCACTATTTCGAAATTTATTTTTTGTCAAAAACGGGTGTCAAACAGGGGCTAAAAGCAAAAAGCTATTAAATGATAGGAAGATGTGCAAAGAAGGAAAAATGGAATACCGATTTATAAAAGCACCACGTTCTTCTTAACGTTAGATGAATCAAAGTGGGGAAAATGCATTTCTCGAATATTTACGATGTAAAGTTATAAACAAACTTATAAAAAGTTTTAACGGTCCATATCGCAATGGTTCCTTCGTGCAACAACATGCACGAACACAAACTAGATGTCATTCTCTTACGAGATCCTGTTTATTTATTTCATTATTGTGGTGAGTCTTTGGAGTAATGAAATAAAATATCTTTATTTCGTAATGTTGGTGTTTGTAATACAATTCCATTTATGTTATAATTAATTACGATAGAATTTGGATGTGACCCCAATTCTTTGTTGAAAATAATTGAGAGTTCTAATTAGAGTGCACATCAAAAAGAATTTTATTTGAAATACTATTGTAGAATCCAAATTAGGAGTTGAAATTTATCAAGATCATAAATAATACATCTTTTCGGATAGCTGATATTGTCGAATCATGATAAAGATGTTTGATAGGACAGTTACAACACTCGATGCAGATAGATACGTTATAGATTTGAAAAAAAATCTTAGCTCTTTAAGTACTCTTTATTCAAGATGGTACATGTTACTGTTAAAGGCGGAGTCCTAAAGTTAGTAGAGGAGTATGTGTCTTGCTAAAGGGATATAAATTTGTATATCTTGTAATGCTATACAGAATCTTTGAGTAATCAACATATTTTAAGAACTCTTGTGATTTTGGAGTTGAATTTTGTATCATTAGAATCTAATTTGGGGTCTTTTTTTTTTTTAAAGGAAATACATCTCAGTTGAATTTATAATTTATGGGTAAATTCGCCTTGCCACCATTGTCGGTGGTGTCATTGTATTCAGTTGTTAGTAATAGACCCATTTTCAATCACAAGATTCCGCATGAGTTGAATTCTGCTTATTTAGTTGATGATTTGAATGCTGTTAAGAGTGTTAATTCCAGTTAAGATCCTTATTTTTGATGTATTCCATTGTATTTCTATTACAGGGCCCCGTTTCGACCTTCTTTGTTGGTTATTAGATCACTTTTGCCCGTTATTGGGTAGCAAGGGTGGTAACTATTTTCAATTGAAAATTTTTTATAGAGAAGTTTTTTTATGTTTTTCATTGAAGAGTTCAAGTTTATTCTTGATGGTGAAATTTGTTTTCAGGTGAATAATTTTTCTTTTGATGTTTTGTTCATTGCAAAAGAATTCGTGTCAAAATGGAGATTGTTAGAGTTTGGGTGTGACTCAAATTATTTATTGAATATAATTGAGATTTCTAATTAAAGTTTACATTAAGAAGAATTCTATTCGGAATGCTCAAATTTGGTCTCCTGCGAGTGGCGCGCAGGATAGGAGACCAAATTTGAAGTTTGGTCTTTGTGTGTCAGCCAAAGACAACTTTTAATTTTTTTTTATATGTACGACAGCCCTTACTTTTAAAAGTAGTTTTTTTTTTATTTTTTTTGTTCCACTTTTTTTTTTAATAATTTATTGGTT